CTGGATCGTTGTTAGCGCAATGGGCAGATGCGGTTTGCATCATTAAGGTTAGCCATTAATTATCTTTTATGGTTATTATTGATAATTAGTGCTACAGTTATGGTTAATCGCTAATTTGGACTAGTCACATATTTTATCTTTAGAAAAATGGAAACATTTGAAGGCGCATTACCATAATTTAGTTTGTCGTTATTGTTAATGTTAATAGTGATTATAATGTTATTTATTGCTATTAATAATTAGTTAATTAATGATGACATTAATATTGTTGTGGTATTCAGTTATGCACCTTGAACTGTTTCCAAATAAATTTATGTGACAATACTCCAGTTCAGAAAATAATTTTCTGGACATTAATATTTTTCGGACTTCAAATTTTATTAAGTTTTCAAAATTTTATCCGAAAACATTTATAAGTGTTAGCGATTTTAACCATTGTTTTTCCATATTTAGTCTCCTACATACATAATGTGATAATATTATTATGGCTATTTATTGCTATTTTGGTTATTTGCAATTTTTCCATTAATAATAATAATATTATTATTAACTGAGTTATGGAGAGTGATTTTGAATCAATTTAGTAATGTTGGAAAAACATATTTTCTAGGCATTTGACTTTTGCCATTAATTCCATAATTCATTTAGTTCTTTGAATTATGACTGTCCATATTTGGTTAAGTATGAATAAATGAATATTTTGTTTAAATTCATATTCTTTAGTTGGTTCATACTCCTTAGATTGTTTTATGCATTCGATCACATTAAGTGCATAATATTAAGTTTAATTATGCAATTAGGGTTTGTGAGATTTTGCTTTACAAATGATAGCATATCCTTTTGGTTTGATATTGTTTGAAATTGTAAATTCAGTTATTTCTCATGAATTTGATCTTTATGCATTAGAACATTTTCCCATGGGCTTACAGTTTAAAATAATTTTAAAGTATATATTCAATACATTATTATTCAAAATGTTGGGTCTCTTTTGGTTTGGACTCATCGGTGTTTGAATATTAAGTTTATACTTTAAAATCTCATATTGTAAATTGCTTTAAGTTATGCAATTTCTTTGGAGTATATGAGTTTAATGTTTAATTTTATGCATATTTGTCCTAAGCATAATATTATGTTTTAAATTATGCAATTTTATTATGCCTTTAGCAATGCATACTTAGATGGAATTATATTAGTTCCTATTTAAGTTGGACTTATGCATAAACTTTAGTCGCGGTAGTGCCTGAATTTAAGCACGTTTAGTCCGCTAATTTAGTTCACCATTTAAGCTTTAATCATAGGTGAACCATACAGTTTTTGGTGTATACCCTACAGTTTTAGGTTCATACCCCCAAACAGTTATACATTAAGTATATATGAATCGGGGAGACATACTATTTTTAATGGCCATGACTTAAGAACATCTTGTGCCACTAGTCTCCTTAAATTGATACTCTATTTAAGGAATTGGTTTTCAGTGAGACTTAGTCTCTAACCATCTTTCCTTGGAGTATATTCAGTTTTTCCCATCACAATTTGGTATAATCTGTTTGTCAAATTTTTAAGCATTCATTGCCAATGTGATTTTATTTCGGTTTATTAAAGAATAGCCAAAGCATCTTTAATTTATTGAAATATCTTGAGTTTTCAATCTTGGTTAATTAAGGAAATGCTACAGCATATTCAGCTACCTAAGATTATTAAGATTTTAATCACATAAAGTTTAGGCAAGAATTTGATAATTGTCTAGTGATCTTATAATTTTAATTTGATTTTGGAGTAGCCACAGCATCCTTAATCTGTTAAAATTATATATTAAGCGGTTTATTTTGATCACATAAAGTTTTAGACATATCATTTGTGATTAATTGTATGTAATATGATGAAATTTAGCCCACAGGCAATTTCGTTATATTTGTATAATTAATCAGGATGAAATACTGGACTACGGTCATAATTTAGCCCACAGGCAATTATGTATCGGAATGTAGTTTAGTAGTTTTATCAGTGATGATAGAAATAAATTTATTTATTTACTATATGGTTATTTGTAAATAATTTTCAGTTCTATCATGAAGTTTAATTTTATGATGTAAACTTTAGATCATATTTCTTAATTTGCCCACAGGGATTAAGAAAAGGAACATGATCTCTTAAGTTTTTTATCATAATGATAGCAATGAATCTTATTGACTAAAACTTTAGCCTACAGGCAAGTTTTATGTCATTTGATTCTTCAACTCATTTGATAATAGTTTCATCATAAATAAAATTTTTCAGTTGGATCTAATTGAGTAAAACTTTAGCCCACAGGCAAGTTTTATGTCACTAGATTCTTCTGGCTCTTTAGTAATTGTGAAAAATATTATCATAAGGGTTTCTTAATTGGATTTAATAGAATTAAAACTTTAGCCCACAGGCAAGTTTTATGTCAATAAATCCCTCAACCCTATTAGATAATAATTTTATCACAATTCTTAGAATTTATAAATTTAGTTCAATTATAATTCTAAGTTTCATGGTTTGCATTGGCAAAACATGTTTTTCAGTCACTTCCCAAAATTTAGCAACTTTTATTAATTAATCCACGAATCTTACTCGGTTCTTCAGACTAACTGTAGTAAGTTACGTGATTTGGCATACCTCTTTTGGATTCCAATAATACTAAAATGTATCTTTTGAGCCGAATTCTAACTTGGTTTTGGAAGATGTATTTTGTTTTTTTTAGTATGTCCAACTATGGTGGGGAAATATATCTTCATTATTTAGTTGGACTTTAATTGGAACCAAAAATTGATTATTTAGTATGTCCAACTAATGGTGGGGGATTATGTCTTCATTTGTTAGTTGGTCAATAAATCAATTATGAGTATGTATGTTATTAAGTTCACTTTATTAATTTCGCTGAAGAATATTTTAATCAGTGGGAGTGATCATTTAGAAAATGATCATTAAGATACTCCACTAAAATTTTTGGATTTAATTGTTGTATATATGTTAAACAATAAGTCCAAAATATTCCACAAGTATTAATCTTGTATTCGTTCATATAAATTCATATATTCAAATTATTGAACATTTGGTTGTGCAACATATTTATGAAAATGTTGTAACAATATTGAGGAATTTATTAGAACAAAAGCATTTAACTTGTGGTACACTGTCATTTAATAAATTCTTCAGTGATGAATAGAGTCTTTAGTTTCTTCAAAATTGATCCTGAGCCATTTTGGTTTGTAAGGCTCAAAACAATTTTGTGGGACATAAAAGTAAGACTCATTATGTTCAGTTCATTTAAAATGGACATTGAAGTTATTTGGGAAGTTATGGTGTATGATTAAGATTCCAAATTTATGGACTTAGACCTTTGCCTTTTTGTCTAAGTTATTGGAATGTTTCTGTGACTTGACTATCTTTTGGCTATTTTTGATGAGTGGGAGTGACAGACGTGTCAACTCCAAGCTCTTAGCTGTTAGAGATAGTACTTAAAGTTAACTTATAAAGAAGTCATGGAATATAGTTAGCATTATGCTAACATTAAGAGATCTCTACTTAAGGCATGCTTATAAAGTTTTAGAGATCATACAGTGTACTCTTTTGTACAATTTGGATGTGCTTTCTCCTTCAGTTGTGCACATAATGTATTTTGAGAAACATCCCTTAAGGTACCGAGAATAAACATAGGGTTTGTTCATTAAGGACCTAAGTTGGAGAATTAAAATGCATGTGACCATAATGGATACTACTCTGATTAAATAGAGAACGTATCACTATGATTCGTGTGTTTTGTTCTTTGATGAAGGTTGTGCTAGTACTTGCACCAAGTGGGAGAATGTAAGATTTTCCCTAATAATATATATTATATATTATATATTAGGGCCTTAATTAAGTGGTGCAAGTTGACTAGGCTTATTAAGTGGTCTGGTTGGACTTAATAACTAGTAGTTGTTAGTCAACCAAACTCTGTGCCTAATATAACCTGGATTGATGGGATACAGGATTATGGATTAGACAGCACATTCAGTTACGGTACTCAGACCGCTCAGTAGACACCAATACACCATCTAGGGTTCTGAGTCAGGTCTGAGGCAAAACATGGCTGACGGTCTACCGTTAAGAGGCAACACAACAGGAACATCAACTATGGCTGGAGATCAACACGGCTACGCTTCCGCTATCATACGAGGTTAGGTTTCTCGTATACTATGGTTCATATAGTTAGACTATTGTATACTATGGTTCAGTGATGAAATATCTGAAGAAGAAGCTGTCGAAATCACTGAATGCACTCAAAGCTTTGAAGAAGAAAGTGATGAAAGCTCTGAGAAGAAAGTGACTGAGGAATTCAGGAAGCCAATGTATGTATACCTCTGGAACATCTACCTCAAATTCCTTAATAACCAATTACATTCTAGTTTTATTTAAACTTAATAATTCTTCTGTCATTACTAAGGAAAGTGCAAAGACAAGGCTCTGAAGTCTGGACTAGAAGGAAAACTTTTTTCGTCGAGCCCCGGGTAACCAGTAGCCAGACTGTGCTCCGGCTATGTAACTGAGGAATTTGTTAATTTTTGGCTTAATATGAACTTATGAAAGCCAAGGTATGTATATATCTATGTAACTTATACTTGAACTCCATTTAATCTTTTTGCGATTGCCAATTAATTTCTAGTTTTGTTTAAAGATTTCATTCCAACTTTAGTTCATCAACTATTACATTTGCACTTCCAATCATCTACTTCAAAATCAATCAAAACTTTCCACTTTACTCCTATATATAGTCAGGTACAAAATCTTGCTTTCAAAAAAAAAAGGGTACTAAATCTGGCACTAAATTTTGGTCTCGCTGGACTAAAAGTGGCATGTTTTCAAAGTCATTAGGTATTAAAGGTTATTGATTTTTTAGTCGTCTAGTAAGGGACTAACACAGTAATCCATTACTAAGGAAAGTGCAAAGACAAGGCTCTGGAGTCTGGACTGGAAGGAAAACTTTTTTCGTCGAGCCCCGGGTAACCAATAGCCAGATTGTGCTCCGGCTAATACAGAGTTTAGCTTCTATCAAATCCCGTTTTGGGGAGCTCTGCCGATCCCTGTTGTTTCATTCACATGGTTTGCAATTGAGAAAAGGAAGAAAGCTTTAGAAGAACATAAGGAGCATTTTCTCCTATTTGCTTTGACTCTGTTGCATGCGGTGTTTTAATGCCAAAACTGGTAAATACTTTGAGATGGTTTTTGCTAATTGTTAACAAATATACAAATGATCATTTTCTCGTAAAGCACCTATATCTTTCACCTCGGAGCCATTAGCCATAAGAACTTTAGTTCCTTTCTTCCCAAACCTTTTTTCTGCATTCAACACATAATAAGATTTGACACAAGCGTATAATGTCTCATTGCATAGAGCAGTCATTTTAATTCATACTTGATTTTTTTTTCGTTAAATTATATTTATCAGTAATTAAGGATTTGTTACCTGCAATACTCAAAAGCTCTTGAATTGAATCGGGAAGGTGGACCAGCTTGCCTCTATGTTCTTCTTTTAGGTCATCATATGGATGATGCCCGTGCATTATCACTCTTGTCGGAAATGTTCCTGATGATGCAATAGTTGTTTCGTTTATCAAGAAATTAAATAGCACAAGATAGGAGGAATCAAATCCGAACTTCTCAGTAGCTGTAGTGCGTAAAAGTATTCCTCTTAGAGCATTTTTGTTTCTTATTTTGAATGATGTGTCTAGTTAGCTTACTGTTTTCTTGTTGTTTTTGTCCTTCATTGCTTTCTGGTCCCTCGGGTTCAGCAATTATCTGCAGGAGAAAAGAAATTGCCTTAGGAAATGTGTGCATTCCTGTTTGGTTTGGTAGTTAATACGGGTTTTCAACTGTTCCATGTCACTAGATTGCTCTACACATTTTTTTGCAGGCGAACATTTACCTCATTATTGTTTGGATCTCCCAGAAACTCTCTTACCATAGGTATCTCTTCCAACTCCTCTTTCCGTAGTCCCCTCAAATGCTGAGTTGAACAAAAGGAATGACTAAACAACAGTGAGTATATGGTTATATACAGGAGTGGCCGCACTGATGAAATGTTGTCGAAGTTACCTGACGAAAATTGGAAAGAATTTTCTTCGCACTATGAATGGCTGCGGGATATTAAATATCACTCCCATTCCCCAACCATTTCTGGAGGTCCTAATTTTGACAGGAACTGTTTACATCAGTTTATGTTAGTGAACAATCCCATTTGCTTTTGAGTATGATCGATTTAACTTTCTCTGTTCCGTTTTTGTATGCTAAAACATCCTGCAATTGTAAAAGGTTGCAGAAGTAGAAGGGAACAATACAAACCACTGCACCAGATACAATGACATACAAATCTGTTGGAGTGTTGTTCCACAGTGCTGAATAAGTTCAATTCACTGTTGGTTTGTCCACTTCATGTTTGTGAAGTTGGAACTAAGGTTTCTCTCTAATTCTTGCTAGTTCATTATTTCAAACTATTAATTTTCTGCCTTTTAATTCCATGTATTAAATTAGTTGTTTATTTTTGTACTCATTTTCAAGGTTGAATTTCAAAATAATGAAAGCTCTGAAGAAGAAATTGTAGAAAGCTCTGAAGAAGAAAGTGTGAAAAAGCTCTAAACAATTAAGTGTTGGAAGCTCTCATCAAGAAAGGTTGAAAGCTCGGAAGAGAGTGATGAAATATCTGAAGAAGTCAAGAAGAAGGTGTGGAAATCACTGAATGCATTCAAAGAATTGAAGAGGAAAGTGTTGTAAGCTCTAAGAAGAAAGTGACTGAGGAATTTTTAAATTTTGGGCTTATTTAAACTTATAAAGCCAAGGTATGAAACTTGTGGTTAAACTCCATATTACTTTGTAGTTTTATTTAAAGAGTTCATTCCAACTTTAATTCATCAACTATTTCATTTGTACTTCCAATCATCAACCTCACCATCTCAAGCCCCTTTGAGGGATAATAAGCCTAAGGGATATAAAAAACTCTATACAGGAGATGCAAGCAGAAACCAGATTAACAAAATTAACATCAAAAGACCAACTTTAATAAGACCCCTTCCGGCCACCATCTTCCAATTCACCATGTCATACGCCTTACTCATATCCAGCTTCCAAAATTTACCAAAAAAAAAAAATATCCAGCTTCCAAACCTTCCCTTGGGTTTTCCTCTTCAGAAAGTGTTGGGTTTCATATGCAAGTAGTAGGTTGTCCGTTATAAGTCTTCCAGGAACAAACGCACATTGAGGCTCAAAGATAAGACTGTGAAGGAGCTAGGACTTTAATTCTATTGACTAGGATCTTAATTATACAACACGTTACTCAGGGCTATAGGTCTCAGATCACTCATCGAGGTAGGGTTGGAGACTTTAGGAATGAGAACAATTTGGGTTAAGTTATTACCAGGGGCAAGGTTTTGGATTGTCCATTGGGCCTTTTTTCCAGAAGCAAACTAGGCCACCACTTGGGGAGCGTTATGCTGTGCAACCGTGTGCACCATTGCAAAAACGTCGTCATTTTGACTAAAAACGCGCGTCCGACTTTAAAAAAAAAAAAATTCAATTTCGGTTCCTGTCGTGGTTGCACAGCATAATTTGCCACCACTTTGGCACCAAGAGGGAATTCTTGTTAACAAGAACAAGAGGAAAACTTAGTTAACAAGAACAAGAGAGATAACAACTTCAGCTAGGCAGGGATACTTAATTAGCTTGTTTGGTCTAACCCGGCCTCTCATTATCATCATTATTCATTAGCAATATCGATCAGTACAAGGGAACCTTGAATTTCCACCATCAATAATTCATCATCAGATCTCTCATCCTCTCTGCTATACTTGTTTCATCTCTGCTCGCTCAACAACTCTCATCTAATCTCATGTGAGTTTCAATTCAGGAACACCTAAGATTAGTTCAAGTTGAATTGGCCTATGTTTTCTCTGGTCTACTCCATAAACTCCATTTCTTATCTGATATTATCCAAACCCAGTTCTCCAACTCCATCAACCTAAGGTATGTTTCATACTTTCTCCAACATCACTCAATTCCATTTTTTTTTTCTTTTTTTTTTTGCTTTGATATATATAGTTTAGCATTATGCTTTGCCCTCTCAATTCACTAAGGGTCCGTTTGGAAACCTAAAAAATGACTTATGGAAAATGTTTTTCTAGTTTTCAGTGTTCGGATGCAATAGGAAAATCCAGTCAACAGAAAACATGACTGGGAAAATGAACTTCCGCCAAAATTTGGAGAAGTCATTTTCCGCCAAAATGTTAAAACATACAATTCTACTCATTTTTCTAGAAAATAAACTAAACACACCAGCCAAGCACCTTGTGCTCTGGTGGCATGTAGTGACTCTCCCATATGGGAGGTCATGAGATTGAACCTCAATGGAGGCGTTGTTGACTCTTTGTGCTTCAATAGACTTGATAAAGTATATTTGAACAGATACTACAATGTAATAGAGTCAGTAGCATTTAAAAAAAAAAAAAACTAAGCACACCAAGTTCAAAATATTTATCTCATTTTGATTGAGTGATCACTATGTATGAAAATACATTTAAATAACATGGCCCCTCAGCATACAAACAATTGAAAAACAAAAACTGGTAATGGTAACAAACTGTGCATTTTCTATTGAACGACATGAAGTTTAGAAAGTAGCTAGCTAGAAGATGCAATGATTTTAAGCCATGTTGCATGCACCATTATCTTCTATCTCTGCTATTTTCTTGTCAATAATTGAGACTAATAAGTCTGATGATATGAGTTCCAGAAACACTGTAGAGAAGTTCAATATAATGGCTTATGCTGCTGTAACCACTCTAATCAAAATAGTAGAGCACCACCTTGTGGAGCCCAAACTACTTTCGATTTTTGATGCCGGAGGATTGAAGGTGGCGCTGCTTCAAATGATCGAGTTGCTGTCTGCCAATCTTTGCATTCTGCAAGCCTTTTTGGAGGAATGTAAGATGAAAATGAATGAAGGGGACGCCTTGGCTAAGATACTGTATAAAGATATCTAAAACAAAGTTGCTAGAATATATATAAATTGCAGAATAGAAAATGATCTAAAAGGAGTATATTTGGCAGCTAATCTGGAAGGGGATGCATTTTTGGCTCGTGAAAAACTTCATTCGACCTTGAATCATGTGGTAAGAAATATTGAGGAAGTTAAAGAACAGATCCTGGCAGAAAAACAAAGATCTGGTTTAGAGCTTGAGAAAGAAAACATCACAGTTTGGGATACCTACCGAAATGCTTTAGATCCTGAGAATGAAGTGATTGTAGGACTCGATAGTGATATAGAGACGATAATTAACCGGCTATGTTATTCACACTTGATGAGATCAATTTTCACCATTTTGAGGAATAGTAACATTGACAAGTTTCAGAAATATGTTGAAAATCCAGAGCTGAAACTACAAGTTATCCCACTCGTCGGGGAAGGAGGCATAGGAAAAACTACATTAGCCAAAAGAGTTTATGGACATCCAATTACTATTGCATGCTTTCAAATTCGAGCATGGGTAGTTGTGTCTCAGGTTCATAACCTAAAAGAGATGCTCATTGGTCTATTACGTTGTATTTCACCAATAACAAGTGAAATCTACGACATAGACGATGCTCAAATAGCTGAGCAATTATGCAGAAGTTTGATGGGCCAGAAGTATTTAATTTGTTTGGATGACATATGGACCACTGCTGCATGGGATGCTGTCCAAGGATGTTTTCCAGAGAATTCTAACGGAAGCCATATCTTAGTAACTACTCGGTTCACAGATGTGGCTGAATACTTAAGTGCAAATCCCTACCATGTGACGTATCAAACTTTAAAGGATCGCTGGGAATTAGTTTCAAGGAAAGTGTTTGGGCGAAGACAATGCGTTCCCAGGAAATATGAGTTAATTGGCAAACGCATTGTTCTTGGTTGCAGTGGATTGCCACTAGCAGTTGTTGTGATTGCTGGACTTTTGGCAACAGCAAAAGAGTCTCTAGAAATATGGAAAGATGTTGCGGAATCTTTGGATCGAGTTGATACATATGATTATAACAACAGAATTTCAAAAATACTTTCATTGGGCTACAACTACTTACCTAGTCACTTGAAGGCTTGCTTTCATTATTTTGGTGTGTTTGCTGAAGACAACGTCATTCCTGTTAAGAGACTAATCAACTTATGGGTTGCAGAGGGATTTTTAATGCCACATAAAAATATGAGTTTGGAAGAAGTGGCAGAGAGTTACTTGGATGATCTC